CCCTTCCAACCCTGATATTCTATGATTCTATGAATATCTTCCTTTTCCCAAGGCTGTCATGCCCGTCTCTTAGCCAGAACTATGAACCAAGTAAGACTCTCATGATTGTCTCTAATGGTGTAATTCAATTGTCAGATGTGCATGTGCAACACCCACTGGAGTTAATAGGAACTGTACCCATATCTCTGAAGGCAGAATGCGGCCCCAAGGAAGCAACTGTCTTCCTTTCTTCCAGAGGTCCCAACATTTTATTAATTTCATTGGCAATGGGACCCATGTAATGATTCTCTCCCTCCCCGCAAAAAAGCAAAGAGACTGAAGCATTAAGATGAACAAAAGAAAAACTGGGAAGTGAATGCACTATTCAATACAAAGAAATATATAAACATACTTTCACAATATTCATTAACTAAATAGGCCAAGTTTGTTCTACAACTCCAGTTGGGGTGCAGGGATGTGTATGGGGAAGGAAAATGTGTGTTATGCCCACTTTGTGACACCTGGCAAGTCAGGCAAAGAGTTTGCTGCTGTTGAGTTGGGAACCTACTCAGTGCATTCTGTGGGGTAGACACATAAGAACCTCAGAGGATACTCAGTGCAGCTGGCATGAAGGAACTGTGTGGGGCTAGAGCAAGTTCAGTGCAGACAAAATATCTGGAGATTTCAGATGCTTATAACTTGGCCAAATTTGGATGGACTGCCTCAGGGGCAGGAAAAAACACCTCCCTGACTCCAATGCTACTCTGACAAATTTCAAGTTCATACTCCAACTTGGAGTTCAGGCTCCAGAACTCTTCATAGAAATGTTGAGAAGAATTTTTTTTTTTAACATTGGCAAAACAACCTTCTTTTCTCTAATATCATTCTCAGAAATGGTTTTGTTTAAACTTTGCAAAGAAATTCAGACTGAGGCAGACATCTGGCATGGAAAATTTCAGCCTGAATAGGTAAAGCTTTGCAAAGTAGAAGCAATTGAAAATGGGTTCTTATGATGGAGAGTGTTAGGCACCCTTAACTTTGGTGTCGCTACCAGCTCTGCCTACAATTCAAGTAATTTTAGAATTTTTTAATATTTGTACAGTCCCATTCTAAAGTCATAATAAAGCACTTCAGAGTGTGCATCAGGCTAAGACATCTTTACTAACTTTATAGTTTTGGCAAAAGGATGTAGGTTTCCTGTCCTCCTGAAGATACAAGGCCTGGCTTGACATTTCAACATAATTTCCAGTGTCCTATTGATTTAGCAATGACTATAATTCTAGTGATAAAATATGCAATAATGGCTCTTTTGGGAAGATTATTGCGTGTGGTAGGATAAGCCATAAAGAGAAATGCCCCATATGTCAGAATTCTAATTAGATTAATGCCATGCTGAACAGTGGAAATCTCCCAAACTGTTCTTGTGAGATTTCCACTATTTTAAGATGCATCCGAACTGGATCTGGAAAATAGGTTCCTTCCGGTTTAGGATTTGATCCAAGAGCAAAATTGCAGAGGCACTTTTAGTTCTGGAGATTCAAATTTGAATACTTCAACCCCCACAAATGAAATCCAGGGGATGGAGGATAGCTTTGAGTTTCCAGTTCAGATGTCTCTTGAAGTAACTGTACTAAATACTGTATAGATACTGCCAAGGCCGGCTTTAGGAACTGCGGGGCCCGATTCCAATACCGACGGCGGTCCGGGTCTTCGGTGGTGGAGGGGGGGGTGTCCTTCACTCGCTCCAGGTCTTCCGCGGCACTGAAGGACCCCCCCACCGTCGAAACGCCGCCGAAGACCCGGAGCGAGTGAAGAACCCCCCCCACCGCCTAAGTGCTGCCGATGACCCGGACCGCCGCCGGGTGAGTAAAAAAAATTAAAAAGGCGCCTAAGGCGCAGGGCCCTGTTAGGCGCGGGACCCGATTCCGGGGGAATTAGCCTAAAGCCAGCTCTGGATACTGCTGTTATTATAGAAACAGACACATATAAGAGTAAAACCAAAACTTCTAGCTATTCCAATAACTGCAGGTTTCTAATGTTTAAAAAATGGTACCAGAACAAAAAACGGTCTCACAATCTGATTTTCACATAACTTTTTACTACAGTAAAAAGGGCCTGAAACAAAATTTTGGTCTACAGCGATCTAACAAGGCCGATATCTTAAATTAAATGTTGCATTCTGCAAAAATAGCTTTTCATGCTGTTCATTTGTCTTGGTGTATACCACGGTGAATTTAATAAATGGCATCAAAGTAATGTATCTGTGAGATTGCCATTTTGTGATATTGTGTTTGCATGGTTCTAATTCACAAGAAAAGGAGAGTGTTGTTTTTTTTTTTAAACAGGAAAGGCCTGATCACTTAGGAAAAGCATGAATGCAACTTTCACAGGGGAAGGGCACATACCCATATGAATCCAAGTACACTACAGGCCTGCTTACCTTTGCTGTGTGACCCAGTGCACAACTAGATTTAACTGTTTTTCAAACAATGCACATTTGATTGCTTCCAGAGTCATGGCTGCACACAGAGGATGTTTAACTGCAGCACTTGAGCTTATGAGGGCCTCAAAATATCTCAGCAAAGGTAGAATCCTCCCTTTAACAGCACCAAGAGCTAGAAGGAGGGAAAGGAAAGTCACTGAGCAAAATATTTCGGAAAATAGCATTTTAAGTTTTCCAATATGTTTTGTTTGTTTGTTTGTGGTTGGTTTTGTTTTTTTGCTTTGATGATGTCCTCAGAATGCCCTGGACAAATTCCAACTAACGGCTCAATCCTGCAAGATGCTGAGCCCCCTCTGCTGCCATGCTAGTCAATGAAAGTTGAGGCTGCTCAGTACAGAAGATGGTGGCACATCACATGATTGGGCATTATCTGTGAACACCTAAAGGCAAATTTTCATAGCAAAATGTGTGGATTTAAACCACTGAGTCTACATGGAGTTGCCTAGTGAAATGCCTGCATATCATTTTGAAAATACACGTATAGAACTTTCTGCAGAGGATGTCGGTTTTATAGTTACCAGTAAAGGCAACTTTAACCCAGTTTCCTTGCTTTGATCCTTCTTTTATTATTGATATATTATTATTTATTATTTGCATTGCAATAGCACTTGACCACCACTCTCAAGAGAAGGAGACAGGTGGTGGTCGGGGACTCCCTCCTAACGGGGACTGAGTCATCTATCTGCCGTCCCAACTGGGAAAACCGAGAAGTGTGCTGCTTGCCAGGAGCTAGGATTCATGATGTGACGGAGAGACTGCCGAGACTCATCAAGCCCTCGGCTCGCTACCTGTTCCTGCTTCTCCATGTGGGCACCAATGATACTGCCAAGAATGACCTTGAGTGGATCACTGCAGACTGCGTGGCTCTGGGAAGAAGGAAAAAGGAGTTTGAGGCACAAGTGGTGTTCTCGTCCATCTTCCCTGTGGAAGGAAAAGGCCCTGGTAGAGACCATTGAATCGTGGAAGTCAACAAATGGCTATGCAGGTGGTGTCAGAGAGAAGGCTGTGGATTCCTTGACCATGGGATGGTGTTCCAAGAAGAAGGATTGCTAGGCAGAGATGGGCTCCACCTAACGAAGAGAAGGAAGAGCATCTTCGCAAGCAGGCAGGCTAACCTAGTGCGGAGGGCTTTAAACTAGGTTCACCGGGGGAAGGAGACCAAAGCCTTGAGGTAAGTGGGGAAATGGGTTACCGGGAGGAAGCACGAGCAGGAGAGCGCAAGAGGGGAGGACTTCTGTCTCATACTGAGAAAGTGGGACGATCAGCGAGTTATCTTAAGTGCCTATTCACAAATGCAAGAAGCCTGGGAAACAAGAAGGGAGAACTGGAATTCCTGGCACAGTCAAGGAATTATGATGTGATTGGAATAACAGAGACTTGGTGGGATAACTCACATGACTAGAGTACTGTCATGGATGGATATAAACTGTTCAGGAAGGACAGGCAGGGCAGAAAAGTTGGGGGAGTTGCATTGTATGTAAGAGAGCAGTATGACTGCTCAGAGCTCCAGTTTGAAACTGCAGAAAAACCTGAGAGTCTCTGGATTAAGTTTAGAAGCGTGAGCAACAAGGGTGATGTCGTGGTCAGAGTCTGCTATAGACCACCACACCAGGGGGATGAGGTGGACGAGGCTTTCTTTCGGCAACTAGCAGAAGTTACTAGATCGCAGGCTCTGGTTCTCATGGGAGACTTTAATCACCCTGATATCTGCTGGGAGAGCAATACAGCGGTGCACAGACAATCCAGGAAGTTTTTGGAAAATGTAGGAGACAATTTCTTGGTGCAAGTGCTGGAGGAACCAACTAGGGGCAGAGCTCTTCCTGACCTGTTGCTCACAAACAGGGAAGAATTAGTAGGGGAAGCAAAAGTGGATGAGAACCTGGGAGGCAGTGACCATGAGATGGTCGAGTTCAGGATCCTGACATAAGGAAGAAAGGAGAGCAGCAGAATATGGACCCTGGACTTCAAAAAAGCAGACTTTGACTTCCTCAGGGAACTGATGGGCAGGATCCCCTACGAGAATAACGTGAGCGGGAAAGAAGTCCAGGAGAGCTGGCTGTATTTTAAAGAATCCTTATTGAGGTTGCAGGAAAAAAACATCCCGATGTGTAGAATAGTAAATATGGCAGGCGACCAGCTTGGCTTAACAGTGTAATCCTTGCTGATCTTAAATGCAAAAAAGAAGCTTACAAGAAGTGGAAGATTGGACAAATGACCAGGGAGGAGTATAAAAATATTGCTCAGGCATGAAGGAGTGAAATCAGGAAGGCCAAATCGCACTTGGAGTTGCAGCTAGCAAGAGATGTTAAGAGTAACAAGAAGGGTTTCTTCAGTTATGTTAGCAGCAAGAAGAAAGTCAAGGAAAGTGTGGGCCCTTTACTGAATGAGGTAGACAACCTTGTCACAGAGGATGTGGAAAAAGCTAATGTACTCAATGCTTTTTTTGCCTCTGTCTTCACAAACAAGGTCAGCTCCCAGACTGCTGCACCGGGCAAGAAAGAAGTGGGTGGGGACTATTTAGAAAAACTGGATGAGCACAAGTCCATGGGACCAGCTGTGCTGCATCTGAGGGTGCTAAAGGAGTTGGCGGATGTGATTGCAGAGCCATTGGCCATTATCTTTGAAAACTCATGGCAATTGGGGGAGGTCCCAGATGTCTGGAAAAAGGCTAATGTAGTGCCCATCTTTAAAAAAGGGAAGGAGGAGGATCCGGGGAACTACAGGCCAGTCAGCCTCACCTCAGTCCCTGGAAAAATCATGGAGCAGGTCCTCAAGGAATCAATTCTGAAGCACTTAGAGGAGAGGAAAGTGATCAGGAATAGTCAGCATGGATTCACCAAGGGCAAGTCATGCCTGACTAACCTAATTGCCTTCTATGAGGAGATAACTGGGTCTGTGGATGAAGGGAAAGCCGTGGATGTGTTATTCCTTGACTTTAGCAAAGATTTTGATATGGTCTCCCACAGTATTCTTGCCAGCGAGTTAAAGAAGTATGGGCTGGATGAATGGACTATAAGGTGGATAGAAAGCTGGCTAGATTGTCGGACTCAACGGGTATTGATCAACGGCTCCATGTCTAGTTGGCAGCCCGTTTCAAGCGGAGTGCCCCAAGGGTCGGTCATTAATGATCTGGAGGATGGCGTGGACTGCACTCTCAGCAAATTTGCAGATGACGCTAAACTGGGAGGAGTGGTAGATACGCTGGAGGGTAGGGATAGGATACAGAGGGACCTAGACAAATTAGAGGATTGGGCCAAAAGAAACCTGATGAGGTTCAACAAGGACAAGTGCAGAGTCCTGCACTTAGGACGGAAGAATCCCATTCACTGTTACAGACTAGGGACCGAATGGCTAGGAAGCAGTTCTGCAGAAAAGGAACTAGGGGTTACAGTGGACGAGAAGCTGGATGTGAGTCAACAGTGTGCCCTTGTTGCCAAGAAGGCTAACGGCATTTTGGGCTGTATAAGTAGGGGCATTGCCAGCAGATGGAGGGACGTGATCATTCCCCTCTATTCGACATTGGTGAGGCCTCATCTGGAGTACTGTGTCCAGTTCTGGGCCCCACACTACGAGGCTTTGGAACCCCCTTTCAGGTAGTTGAAAATGTGGAAAAATTGGAGGGAGTCCAGAGGAGGGCAACAAAAATGATTAGGGGGCTGGAGCACATGACTTATGAGGAGAGGCTGAGGGAACTGGGATTGTTTAGTCTGCAGAAGACAAGAATGAGGGGGGATTTGATAGCTGCTTTCAACTACCTGAAAGGGGGTTCCAGAGAGGATGGATCTAGACTGTTCTCAGTGGTAGCAGATGACAGAACAAGGAGTAATGGTCTCAAGATGCAGTGGGGGAGGTTTAGGTTGGATATTAGGAAAAACTTTTTCACTAGGAGGGTGGTGAAGCACTAGAATGGGTTACCTAGGGAGGTGGTGGAATCTCCTTCCTTAGAGGTTTTTAAGGTCAGGCTTGACAAAGCCCTGGCTGGGATGATTTAGTTGGGATTTGGTCCTGCTTTGAGCAGGGAGTTGGACTAGATGACCTCCTGAGGTCCCTTCCAACCCTGATATTCTATGAGTCTATGACCTGGGCTCGGAGACCTTGTGCCATGCATTTTTTAATCGCAGCATACCCTTAGGTTGTTTTTATTTTTACTTTGAAGTGTTAAATGTAAAATCCAAACACACATAAGTAATTCACATTTGTCCCCTCAAGGCTTCTTTCAACATGAGTAATAGAGGTAGATTCTCAGCGGCATAAGTCAGTGTCGCACTATTTGAATCAATAGTGATGTCAATTTACACCAGCTGAGAATCTGACCAACAGTATTTCCATCTAAATTCCATACCTTTAAATTTCATCATGGTTTCTTCATTGCGGAGAATTCCTCTAGGACAGTTTGCAGCATAAACTGCTGCAGCCTCATACTGACCATATGAAAATAATTCATTGAATCTAGGACAGATGAAGGAAAAGACAATGTAATATAGCACTGACACAAAAACAAAAAGAAATGATCAGTTGATGATGTGGTGAACTAGCCAAGGAAGGAATTCCAGAAAGCCTAGAATCAAATGTCAAAGACATGGGCAATACCACAGCTTTAATACAAAGAATATTTTAAAATATCTAGTCCTTCTGTATAAAAAAAAATCTGGTGACAGCAAGTGGCAGTCCTGAGTGGTTCTCAGTTCCCCAAATTACTTTTTCCCCTCACCTTCATCTTTTAGTATTATTTTGGTACACATCATCAGTATAGGCACTACACACTGGATCGTAGAATGCTGACCACTGCCTAGCAACTTACACAGTGTCCACAATGGGGTTCAGGAAGTGGATCATCAATGGAAAGCTGACCAAAAGAAAGGAGGCTTGACATGGCATTTAAATGAGGAAATCAGGTTGCACAGCACCCAACACCAGTTGCGCAAGAGGGTGCCCCAGAAAGTTGTCTACATCTGCATTAACTATTCAATGGTGAGATTCTGCCTGTATTCTGCTCAGCCTCTGCATGGGCTCCTGGGGGAGGGAGGGTGCAAGAAGCTTCCCCTTTGCGCTAAGAATGGCTGTTGGATAGTCTCATCCCTGATCCCCTCAGTGCTGCTAGCAGGCAGGGAGGACAGGGAAAGCTGGTGCTGTGGTTTCCACACTGGCTTTTATCGCCAGCTGGGCACAGAGGACTGCACTTGCTCAAAGGGTGGCCAAGTTGCTACTATGGCATGTGCTCCCAGCCAGAATTCCTCGTCAGGGCTCCATCAACCATATCGTCTCTCTGCATCCCCTCCCAGTGTATCTGAGGGCAGTAGGGGTGCAATCTTGTCCCAGATTACTCCGTTAAGGGAAACCACATCTAGACTATAATAATGATAGCCTATGATTAACCCCCTGAAATGTCCCCACTAAAACTAGCTATGCCTCTATTACCATTCACCTCCTGATTGTGTCAATTAGATTTTCTCCTGAAAGACTGACTTGCCGCACTGCTGTTGGGTTAACAAATATTGATCTCCAGAAAGAAACTGTTGCAGTTAGATTTCAATGAATGTTATATTTAAGATGCTGATTTGGGAGGGACTGGTATAATGGAATATGGCCTTTCAGCTCACGGATCAAACTAAGGCCAAATCCAATCTAGGTTGGTAGTACCTGGAAGCTGTTGCCATGTAATGACTGTTCAGTGGACTGTGTGAAATGAGTTTATGATCTCATTCCACTTCTTAGTTGCAAGAGTTTTAAAGATATTAGGCACCTAAAGATGAAGACAGGCGCTCAGTGGGATTTTTAAAAGCACCTAGCTCTCAACAGGCACCTAGTGCTTTTGAAAATCGTACTAGGTACTTATTGGCATCTTTAGGAAAAACTCTAGACCAAGGTAATCGCCTCAGAGGTGTTCATATCACCAAAAAAACCCCACCTCCACTGCTAGTACCTTTGCTGGCAGTTTCAGCAAAGAGGCCAAGGATGAAATGGGCCATGAAGTTCAAACTACCCTTTCTGCCCCAAAAGTGATCTTCCAGGACAGGGTTGAAGCACATGAGTAGAGCAGTGTGGAAAAGCTGCTTTTGCTGCATCTGGTCTATGGATAACCAACTGATGTAGGTCAGCAGGGCTGTCAGGCTAGCAAGCACATTTTACAAACACCAGAAATTCACAAAAAGAAGAAAAGAGTGCTCTTTTTACAAAATCCTAATTTGCCCTGGAGGACTGCATTAAACATGATATGTTATCCAAACTCTGTAATGCTGTAAACTGCTTACACAAAGTAGAATATAAGAGTTGCATTCTATTTACCTTTCAATATATTCAAGCAAATCTTCAGCCTCTTTACTCTTGCTGGGGTCATGTTCAAATATATGAGAGATGCTAAAGGCAGCAGCAGCTGAAAATTAGACACATCAATGGGAGGTAAATGTGTTATTATTTCAATAGAGAAAACCAGCATTAACACTGTAAGAGTACAAAAAGAGAATAGATTTTGATCCATAGAAATGTGTCTTTCAAGAAAGATGGGTTTAAAGTTTTAGCCAGGCTCTTTTGCATTAGCAAGCAGGAAAGGGACCTTATATAAACTAATGCATTTTTCATGCGTTGACAAGACTGCAGAAGTCTCCCATAAGTGGAAATGTAATTAGGAAACAATTTCAATCAGGCCAGGTAAATTCTAGAACAAAGTTTCCCTGTCTGTGTCCCCAGACACATACTCTAAGGCGGTCAGAGATTAGGAATGAGAGGTGACACCCTAAGGACCAAATTCTACTCACCGAAACATTCTACAGTTCCACCTGAAACCAATGCAGCTGCACAGAATGTCAGTCAGGGCAGAATTTGGCTCTTAGCTCTGGGACAAGGGTGGAGACCACACTTTAAACTCCAACTAACAGCGAACAACAGACATAGGGACAGATTCTGATTTCAGTTACACCCAAGTAATTCCACTGAATTCAGTACATAGATTTACAGGGCTGTAAATGGGAGCAGACTTTGACTCACAATCTAAAAGCCCATTAGAAGGGGCAGAGTGGAGGAACATAAGAGGTATGTTCCCCGATCTGTCTAACAATACAAGTTGAGAGCAACAAGTAAGATTCAATTTGATGCCAAGCATGCCACTGTACTCTACTCATGCAGCACCTGAGATGATCTTGACAGTTTTGGGAGTGTGCTTAATGCTCATAAAAAGGTTGAGCATGTCAGAAGGCCTAAGGCAATTGGCTGGAAAACATTTTAAAGATCCTTCGCCATCTCTACTTCACTTGCCTAAATAACCTGGATGATCTGAAGTACTAGCAGCAGGAGACCTCTGTGACTCTGGAAAAAAAAAGGTGAGGGATTTGGGTAGCACATGAGAGGTGGAGATTGTATAAACCACCTCAGGACACCTCACCTTCATCTTAACTGTAGTAAAACATCATAGACCAAAGTCATCCCTGTATAACTCTGGTGAATATTTTTCTATACCGTTATCAGATTTCTGGGCAAAAATCTTATTTTCCTAAATGCTGGACACATGCATCACCATGCATGGGGGAAATGGATGACCCAAGATCATTAGGGATAAGACTTTCAAAGGGACCTAAAGGAATTAGGGGCCCAACTTCCACTGACTCTAAATGGGATTTGGACTCTTAATTCTTTCATGCCCCTTTGAAAATCTCAGTACACATTTAAAAAAGAAAAATACAAATTTATAGGCCAGATTCTCAGCTAGTATAAGATTGCATGGCCCCACTGATATCAATGGAAATAGACTAATTTGCATCAGCTGAGAATCTGGTCCCATATTTTCCATGCTTCATAATATTGTCCTTCTATTTGTATTGGTTTTACCTTTCACAACTTCCTTCTTTTCCATGACTTGAGAGAGTAATTCTTGCAAGGAGGTGCTCTTGTCGGATTTTGCCCAGACAGACACAGCATTTGCAACCAATGTAATTCTATTATAACTATAAACAGTCAAAGAGGGAATCGAACATTTTGTTAGGATCAGTGTAACTCCTCAGTAGTTACCTACGAAGTTCCCTATGAAGGATCAAGTTCAAGCTAACGCTTAACTTCAAGGTTCTATAAAGCTCGACCTCTGCCCACATCTCTTCTCATTCTAATCCCTCCCTCCCTCCCTTCCACCCAACTGCTTCCCTTGTATCTTTCTCCTACTTTCATCTTTGTGCTTTCCTCTTTGCTGCCCATTACACATGGGAGTCCTTGTCTGTCCTACTGTAAAAGGTACTGTCTCCTTTCAAAGGGTTTCAAAATGCACTTCTTCCAAGCATCATTAATCCACCAAACACAGGAAGGCTGCCATATTTATGTCATTAAAAGCCTTATGCTGATTTGTATTGAATGCATCTTCAAATCACCATCATACTATGAGCCAGATGTTCAGATCCCAGCAAGCTGCACTCAATTTATCGAAGACATCTTTTATCTCCCACAATCTAGGAAGTGATGGGGGAAGTGGGGGACAAAACTGCCCCTAGTGTAATTTAAAGCAGTCTAAGGGCTACTCTAGTTTATACCAGTTAGAGCGGTCCCCTCAGTGCCACTTTGCCAGCAGAGGATCTTCATCACCTATCACCCAAGTATTCCCCCTACATCAGGGAAATCCCTGGCTGCCCACTTGAGGCAGCTCTTTATCTCCTTTGTGCTGCTGGAGCAATGAACAGAGCAGGGGGCCAGATCCTGACCCTACATTACCACACTGCATTCTTTGTCTGTTGACTATAAGCTATTAGGGGCAAGGAATGTCTTCCCATGAATTTTGCAAAGTACTGAGCACAATTCATACTGATATTGTTAATACCTCTATAACAATTAATAACGTACCAAAGCTAAATCTATGTGACAGACAGAACACTGTAGAGAATATCCCCAACATAAAAACAAGATATGTTGTAGGATGAACACTTGTACCTAAGTCTCAGTTTCTCATTTACTGCCTCTGCCTTATCTCGTAGTTCCAGTGAGTGCTTGAGTTCCTGCTCTAGGCCAGCCTTGTTCTCCAGAGGAATGTATTTTGATATCATGTCTGCTTTCAGTTCCTGCACTCTCCCTTCTAGCTGAGCAAGGTGTCTAGAAAGAGCATCTAAGCTGAGAGATTCTTTTACAGTCAGACCTGTTGAAGAAGGAAATGTCTTTAATGAGCTCTTAATTGTGATAAACATACCAGGTGTATACAGAAACTGTGAGACATGTAATTTGCTAGGGTTCTCTAGACTGAAAATCAACACTGAATAAAAGGAGATGACAGTCTTAGAGACAAGATCTGAACTTTGCAGCTCAGACATAATCCAAGTTTCCCTTTACTTTAGAGCCCATCTCTATTAATAAGTGGGGGAAAAAATGTATAGAAGGTGATAAAAGTTTAGAGTTCAATAATATTCCAGAGCTGTAATTGAATCTGTTAGTTTTTGGTGTAATGTTCCAGCAGTGAGGACTTAGAAACAAATGTACAAATGACTTGTTATGTACTATACATGTACACCTAGCTATTTAGATTCAATTTGTTAAGTATTGACCAAACATTACTGGCCAGATTGTGACCATCTTCTAAGCAATGTGAGAGAAAGATGGGAGGAGCCTTCTCCCCTGGCACTGCCACACACGAGTTGGTCACAATCAACCATTGTGCTCAGTGGGGGAATTCATCTCTGCTCTACAACCCCTTCATGCTGGCCTGGCTGCTCTGACTCCAAATGGGACACGGAATAGATGTAAGCTCCCCATCCTAAGAAATCCCCCCCAGTGCAAGAGGGTCTGTGCAGCAGCCCGAGTTGGCTCTGCAACTCCTTGCAGAAGGCCCTGCCACAATGAACATCCTAATGTAAGCTAGGGACAGACACAGGAATAGAAGTGGGGGAAGGAGTGGTTTTGAGGTTTTCCTGTGCTCTAGTGATTCTGCACTCCTGCAACTGCCAATAGGGTCTACTGCAGCAGTGACAAGTTAAATCAGACGTCAGGGATGCCCCAGGTTGCACAAATGGGCTCCAGAATCAAGGAGGCACAAGTTCTGTAACAGTCAGCATGCTCCCCATGACTACCAAAGAGCTCTGGAAGGCATTATGCCTCCCTGAAGCATGCATCCTTCCAGAGCTTCCACTGGGTCAACAAGGCTCCATACCACCCAAACATGGGCTAGTGCCTTACAGGGTCATTGCAGCCCTCTGTGTATGTGGCTTCTCTTTAGTTAAGGGCAAAGCTTTAATCCAAAAGAAATACTCAGATTACCTAACAAAATATTGGTCTTTACCTGGTATAGGCTTAGCAGGGTTTATCTTTTTTCTTGGAGTCAAAACTTCTGTAGAGGGCACTTTCTTAATATTTCTTATTTTCAATATCAGATTTTGAATTCTAGCAGAATTTCTCTCGATAACTTTTATTCTGCAACAAAGAAAAGAAGTCTCCATTTTCTTTTCTACGTTTTAGAATCCTAGATCATCAGGGCGAGCTACACTAAGCTTGTCACAATACTATTCTGTCATTCTCAGTTATTTGTGTTTCCTAACATGCCATATTAATTCTATTTGATTCTGTTTGTGGCTAGGCAGCATTTCTCAAATGCGGCCACCAGGGGCTTTTCTTGCGGCTACACCCTCCTGGGCTGTGATGGAGGGGGTGAGTGGCAAAATAGCAGCCTCTCCCCTTCCCTGTTGCTCCTGGATGCCCCACCTTGGTGTTGATTGCTGGGGCTGCCAGCAGGGATTGGGCTCTACCCCCTCTGGAGACACCTGGGGCACAACGCTGGAGGATCAGGCAGTCAGTGAATTCCCCAACTTCTGGGGGCAGTGGGGCTCAGTCTTTAGGCTTCAGCCCTAGGGTGGCAGGGCAGCAGGTTCTGGCAGAGGGACTTTGGGCTCCAGCCCTGGGCTCCGACTATGAGGCGGTAGACCCCAGGCTCCAGCCCCTCGCTGCCTCTCCCAGCCCCCCATCCAGGGCTTAATTTGTCCCCAGGCTTGGCAGGGCCGAATAAGTCTGCTGTGAAAAAGTGATACTGGCTTTTTTGTTAATAGTCTGTTGTGAAAAGTGATTTCTAGCTAGCAATAAATAACAATGTTTTGGACATATCTATCTGCATATTTATTTGTTTTTCCTAAAGCTAATTAAGTATTTTAGGGAAAAGTGTGAGAGCGGCCGCTAGCAAGAGTTGGTGGCCGTACTCTAACACCACCAAAAAATTTGTCCTGAGAACCCCTGGGGTAGAGGCATGCACCTTCTGATAATCTTATCACATACATGCAACTACATGACACCAGTAAAGTATAGGACAGTAAAGAAAGCCACATAGTAGACTGAGGGAAAGGGAGTAATTCTTACTCTGTTTTATACTTCTCAAATTAAACAAAGTCTCCTAATACAATACATTTTGACAATGAACTTTCACTTTGAAGTTATGCTGTCTTTATTTTACAAGTGGCGAAACAGCATATGTTTAACTCAAGTGCCTGATCCTGCAGTACTTATGCAGGCCAAATCTCCATTGACTTCAGGGGGAGTTTTAACTGCAGAAGAATTGCAGAATCAGGCCTGGAAATACAAAAATCTAAATTATTCTTTTAACAATTACACAGTCATTTTGGGACTTTCACCTAATGGATAATAAAATAATAAAACTAGTTTTTAAAAATCACAACTGTGATAAACTAGCTACATTTTAAATGATTTACACATCAGAGTTAGTATCACACATGTTGCTTTACACAATATATTAGAAGTGGCCTTACTTGTCTTCAAGTTGCATTGTTCTTTTTCTATAATATATTAGAGTTGTAGGCTCAGATGCCAGAACTTTCAATTTTCCATGAAGATAAAATGCATTCCTTTGGCCCTTTTTTATTGCTTCAATAAATGCATCATACTCCTGTTTGATTGAAGTCAGGATGTTCTTGTACACAGTAACATGCTCTATTATCTGTGAAGACATGTTTTGCCATTTGAAATGCGATATACTGATGTGGTTAATGGAACACCCTTCCAGACTCCCTGCAAACCTCCAAACAGCACAACAGTCAGAGTAAATAGAAACAATTGGACACAATATAGATGCTCCCCGACTTATGCAAGCGTTCCGTTCCGGAAGGCCTTTTGTAAGTCCAATTTTGCATAAGTTGGGAACGTATACCCAACAATTACGCCAAAAAAAATCTTACGGATTTGCGTAAATCGAGTTTGCATAACCCGGGGAGTGTCTGTATACACTTCAAACAGCAGCTAATGCACGAGAAGCAGAACATAAAACTGACAGTCTGTTTTCATTGCCCAAGCTGATGAAAGTGCACAAACTATAAATGGTGACAAATGAACTCCATACTTCTTTCAGTTTAAATAATCTCTGATATTATTAAAGTTAAGGGATAATTTTCAGGACATTGTTTATGCAGCTAGAAGAACCACTTTTCAGCAACATGAGACACTTTCTGCAATAGGTACTAAGCCTGATGCCTTCAGGGCACTTACGGCTCTGGAAAGGCTAAGGAGGAAGGTACCAGGCCAGGCCAATGTTTTTTTTAAATAGCATAAAGCATTAGATCAAACTCACAATTTGGGGGGCTGATCCTGCAGCCCTTACTCATGCATGCAAAGGATGCAAAAACTGATTCTACATGCATGTAAAAAGTAGCTATGAAGAAGTCCCAGTTTTGATTCCTGTACATTACATCTCTCTTGGCAGCTGAAAAAAGCAAAGCACAAATGGGTAGATAGAAAGATTAACCTAAATAATCTATACAGAAGGTTTTTTTCCTCAAATGCCCATTTTTTATTTTTTATTTTTTTAAATCATTGGTTTTTATTCACCCTGGTATTTGGGGACTTGCTGTAGATTTTTTTTTTTTTAAACTTCAGTCTATATAACTAACTGACATTTTTCAATCTAGTAAATTCATTGTATAGGTCTCTAGAAGTGTGATTGGATGATAATTGATTCAATTTGGAATGACATAAGACAAGTTTTATGAATTGTCAAAAAGCAGGGTACATAAATGTCAATGATGTTTTTAAAATAAAAAAATCAGATAGTTTTTATTTAAATTGGATTTTTTAAATCAATTTGATTTAAATCAAATCCACCCTGATTTCATTGTATCTTTTCTATTCACGGTGAAAAAATGAACCGAGGGATGATGCTGAAATTGGAAAACCTGGTCCAGTTACATTGTGCTTGCATACAGCTGCATAGTCTTTCTTACAGGAAAATTCACAGAACACAGTGGAAACCTGTGCAGTCATCCACATACCCCATGCGGCCAGTTCAGCTGCACCCACAGCTCTGGCAAACAGACACATTCATCAGTGTTGCGCTTTCACAATATAGGCTTTTAGCTACAAAGGAGGTAATGAACAAGTTCCAACAACTACTTTATCCCATCTGAAAGTACAAAGAGCAAAAAAAATCAATTTTTGAGCATTTTCATTATATAAATAGAAACTTTGTTAGTGATGAATTTACTGTGTATAAGATTGTTACTCCACTGTATAGAGAATTTACTTTAGATTTACAAGACATATTAATATATACATAGATGTAGTGGAGCTCTCTCCCAAACATTCATTTGAAGTTTTTTAAATCCAAATGTTGCAACACCAAAAATCTGAAAGAAAAACTGATTATAAACAAAAGTGAAAATGATTTTCATTGTTCAAAATGAGAGATGCAAAAAAACTGTAAAAATGCCACTAAGTGATTTTTAAATATTCACTATTTTAAAAGTTCAGTAATTTGTTTGTAATGTAGGCAAAGAAATTTGTTTGCAACTTACAATTTTTGTTTTCATTGGCCCTTTAAATAGCTTTTGATTTTTTTTTAAATCATTGATATTTATCCACCCTGCTCCCATCCTCTTCCATCAGCGATACCCCTTGGGCCAACGGCAAGGAAGGCTGGTTTTAGTGCAGCTCTGAAATACCAGAGCAGCACAAAACTGCCCTAATATGGGGGAGAATCTGGCCTTGTAGCACTGCCTCCATAGGCATACCCTTTCACCCCTAAACCCGGTATTTCCAGGTCAGAGATGAAGTACATTGGTGAGGAAGCTTAAACTGCTGCTTCCAGTGCTATACCTGTCTTGGGGATGAAAACATGTATTCAGTCTTCAGGGCTGTCAAGCCAAACTCTTGTGTGCTCTAAGACCCAGCTTCTCAAAGGTATTTAGAATCCTAACTTCCATTGATTTCATTGACTAGGCCAAATACCTTTGAGGTTTTTGATCTAAAGCAGGGGTAGGCAACCTATGGCACGCGTGCCAAAAGCGGCACGTGAGCTGATTTTCAGTGGCACTCACGCTGCCGGGGTCCCAGCCACTGGTCCAGGGGGGGACTCTGCATTTTAATTTAATTTTAAATGAAGCTTCTTAAACATTTTAAGTTTAAAGTAAACTTATTTACTTTACATACAACAATAGTTTAAAAAGAACAGGAGTACTTGTGGCACCTTAGAGACTAACAAATTTATTAGAGCATATAAGCTTTCGTGGACTACAGCCCACTTCTTTGGATGCATATATGGAAGCTGTAGTCCACGAAGTGGGCTGTAGTCCACGAAAGCTTATGTGCTCTAATAAATTTGTTAGTCTCTAAGGTGCCACAAGTACTCCTGTTCTTTTTGCGGATACAGACTAACACGGCTGCTACTCTGAAACAATAGTTTAGTTATATATTATAGACATAGAAAGACCTTCTAAAAATATTAAAATGCATTACTAGCATGCGAAACCTTAAATTAGAGTGAATAAATGAAGACTCGGTACACCACTTCTGAAAGGTTGCCGACCCCTAATCTAAAATCTCATTTTAAAAAAAATGACACAACACTTCCTGTTTGTCAGTGCATCTAAGATTAGTAGCCCTTTCCACTGCTTGTTTACAAAGAAAATATTTTCTTATAGTGCTGTTACCTTGTCAAAAACATTACAGTATATAATGTAATACTCCTCAGCTGGTCCTTGTTCTGTACAACCCACTTTTTCAATTTCTGTAATGATGTATCCTTGTATACTGTCTAAAAATTTCTTATCACTGTCAGGAACAATGGGAGGGAGAACTGAATGTCTGCTCACTCCAATATTATGGGCGGACATGGTTGAAAAGCAACACTTTCATTTCTTATAGAAAATTTAAGCCCAATTCCCTCTTTTCTTCAACAGAAGTAAATGCTTCAGTCAAAACCTAAACAAAAAGATGAGACTGTTAAAATAATGTAGTATAAATGCGACACCAACTCATATTCATGTGTCAAGTGGTGCCATTCTTTATCTATTCTGGCTCTTTATTAATGCTTACCATCAAATATTTCATTATTAAAAAAGATAAGATTTTCTTACTATTTCCACATAAACTATTACATCTCGCGAACATCTGTTCTAGGTTTCTTTCCTATGTACTTTGTACCATTTCCCTACCATCACTTCCAAATCTAGCCATTTTTCACTGCATCTGGCACTCAGGGGTGATACTAATCAGAGGGCAGTTGTGGAAGTCATCTCTATTGTGCTACAAAAGACCCTGAGTCTGCAAGTTGCTCCACACTGGTGGCTCTCCACACCCATGGAGCCCCAGTGGCTTTTGAGGCTGCACCTGGCAACATGTGTCTGCCCAACTAGAGTAGTCTGCATGGTTGAGGTCTACATGTGGAGTGGTGGGAGGAAAGAGGGCACTGGAGAAAATAAGCCTCTTCTGAATTTATACATTAACTTTATTTGACCAAACAAACAAATCAAGTGAAGCAATGAGTAAAAGAACACATTATCCAAGTAGCCCACAGCCTGGTCTACACTGGGGGGAAATCAATCTATGGTAAGTTACACAGTTTCAGCTATGTGAAGAAGGTAGCTGAAGTCAACGTACTTAGATCTACTTCACTGCAGTAAGTCGATGGCTGATGCTCTCCTGTCAACTCTGCCTGCGCCTCTCACCCTGGTGGAGTACTGGCGTTGACAGGAGAGCGCTTGGCGGTCAATTTATTGCGTCTAGACTAGACGTGATAAATCGACCCCCGCTGGATCGATCGCTGCCCAACGATCCAGCGGGTAGCGTAGACAAACCCTAAAGCTCCTAGGTCAACCAGTCCAATCCCTGCATCTATTTCTGAATGCCTCTATGGCGTTTCCCAGAAGTCCGGCATTAGCCAAACTGAATGTGCCCTAGGGCAGCCATGTTTTCCTGCTACCCCCGTTGAGTGCCCCAGGTTTGCCCGAGAGCAGCAACCCCCACTTCTGTTCTGCTGGGACAGACAGTTCCCGCATCACCCCACAACTCGACCTCGCTGCTCCTTTCTGCCTTATCCCCAGCGCCAGCCCAGGAGCTGAGCTCGGCGGGGCGCGGCTAAGGGCTCCCCCGCACAGGCCCGCCCCGTAGAAACCAAGGGGGAGCCCGCAAACAACGCTGGGGGCACTAGGGAGGAGTCGGGCCCGCGCCGGGGTTTGGGATCACACCGCAGAGCCGAACCCGAATCGCAGCGCCGGACCCTAGCTGCAGCGCGGCACCCGCGAGCTCCCCAGCCAGTCCGCTCTCCGGCTGTTCACTACTGCGGAACGCATCACAGCGCTGCAGACTAAGCTCGCGGACCCCACTCAGGACGCGACGGTACTTCAGCCGATTCACATCCCGGTCGGCCGCAACGGCCGTTGCTGATAACTACGCTCTATAGGAGCGGAGGGAGGGAGGGAAGAGTTCAGTCAGGGGCATTGTGGAAAATGTAGTTTCTTCCCCTCTTGCGCGCCCAACTTCCGACTACAACTCCCATCAGCCCTTTCAGACGTCCCCCTTCATGCCAACATGGAAACCACAATCCCCAGGACGCCCTGGTCTGCCTTGTACTGGCGGTGCATGCTGGGAGTTGTAGTCTCGCACGCACGCAGTGGCGCGCCGGCCTGGAGGCCCCTCCTTTCCTAGGCTGGAAACCCCGTGCAGACCAAGCTGGGCTCTCTTTCCGGCATCCGCCATTCAGCGAGCAGGTTGGTGGTGAGTGTTCGCTCTTCCCCCACCCCCGTCTGCTCCCCTCACCGCGTGCTCATCTGACCGTGCTCTCTTTGCCCGCAGGTGCTAGTCACACCATGCAGATCTTCGTGAAGACCCTGACCGGGAAAACCATCACCCTCGAGGTGAGTGCGCCAGGGGCCGCCCGGCCGTGAGTGGGGGTGCACCCTCCCCTAGCAGTAGGCCCGCTGTGCGTGGGGATATGCACCCTTCCCCCGCATGTATAGGTGTCCTGTGCGGGGGTCGGAGGTGACATGCGACTTCCCCCATCTGTAGGCGCCCTGGGTGGGAATGGTGGACCCCTAGGCGCACACGGCCCGTGTCTGTCCGTAGGGGACGCGCACGCTGGGTGGGGGGCAAGGGGCTGAGTTCTCCTGGAGACGCGAAGGGCCCCTGCTTACGGCTGTAGTTCCCCACGGAACGCTCCCACGCGCGGCCGCTGCCAGCCAGTGCTCGGCTGAACCCTCGGGCAAGGGTGGCTTTGTTTTTTGAAACTTCGTGTGAGCGGCCTCTTTTTGGGACAGTTCGGAGCAGGCTGCCCAAGGAGGCAAAAAATTGGAAAGCCCACCAGGAACACCCTAAATATCTCCCGGGTGGAGGGGGCGTTTTAATCTGCCTCCTCTCTAGGCGGTGTCTAAATGTTATGGTTGAAATTGAAACATTCAAGATCCAGCCAATGCATAAAAATGAGTTCACTGTTTAAAATATGAAACCTGCCCTTGATTACCTATTTTTGTGGTTCTATAATCCCACTTTCATGTTCTGCCAAATGCTTCCCTCCTGTTGCTGTCTGAAAGACCTACCCAAATAGGAGACATTGATTAGGCACAGTGCTGTCAAATGTATAAACTAAATGTACTGAGAATATAATAAAGCCCTTTTAATTTACAAACTTGTAAAGAATCATTGTAATCTTCTTCCCCAACATGCAGAGCTCTCCTCCAGGTGGTTTCATGAATGTAGGAAGGAGAGTTTCAGACTCATGAGGGATCTTGAAAGTATAATTTTGTCCTTAAGAGTCTTGTAAACAGGGTTGATAAATGAATGTAGAAAACTTTTACTGTCAGTTTAAATAGAATATACAAATTAAGTTTCTTATGTTTCAGCTAAATAAGCTATTTTTATCTGTTGCTTTGAAAGACTTAAAATTTGGGTCCACAATTTGAAAGCATGGCTTCTGTTTTTGTACATCATTGTGTACAAATGACTGTGTGTCTGCAAATAAATAATACTGGCTTGATGCCCCTTAGAAAATCTGGCCTGTAGCTTTCACTGACAAAATTTCATAGATGTATATAGCTGATATAATTCTACTTCAGAGTTTTAACTGGTTTTCCACTTTTTTTAATAATAGGTTGAGCCTTCTGATACTATAGAAAATGTGAAGGCCAAGATCCAGGATAAGGAAGGTAAGTTCAGTGCTTTTTGGACTCTTGTGTTCCCTACTCTGATCATTCTCCTTTAGATAAAGAGCAGCTTACCTCAAATATCATTCCCTAGAAATCTGATAGTATTTTCTATGGTCACTAGTATCAAAATTAAATGTCACTTACAGAAAAGTTTTGTAAGTGTATCTTCATATCCTGCCATCTATGTTTTGTACATTTTATTTCTGTAGTCTGCATTCCTTATGACTCTACTCTTATAGGAAATTTGAGTAGATTTTTCTATTTAATCTTGATTAACTTCCCATTAGGAATTCCTCCTGATCAACAACGACTTATTTTTGCTGGCAAGCAGTTGGAAGATGGACGCACGCTGTCTGACTACAATATTCAAAAGGTGTGTATCTTCCAGAGACGGGATACGATATAATTAGAGCCCTACCAAATTCATGGTCCATTTTGGTCAATTTCACAGTCAGAATTTTTTAAATCGTAAATTTCATGATTTCAGCCATTTGAATCTGAAATTTCACGTTGTAATTGTAGGGGTCCTGACCCAAAAAGGAGTTGTGGGGGTGGGGAATCACAAGGCTACATGGGGGAGGGGTGGTTGCTGTACTGCCACTCCATACTTCTGTGCTGCTGGCAGCAGCGCTGCCTTCAGAGCTGAGCAGCTGGAGAGCGGCAGCTCCTGGCCAGGAGCCAAGCCCTGAAGTCAGAGCTGCTACCTGCAGAGCTGGGCCCTCAGCCAGCCTCTGCCACTCTCCAGCCGCCCAACTCTGAAAGCAGCAGTGCAGAAGTAAGGGTGGCATGGTATAGTATTACTTCTGTCCCCTACTGCTGGGGGGGCGGGGGGCGTGACATGGTTTAGTATTACTTCGTCCTTGCTGCCTTCAAAACTGGGTGCACAGCCAACACTTCCCAGACACCCAGCTCTGAAGGCAGCGCAGAAGTGAGGGAGTCAGTGTCGTGAAACATCTCCTCTCTCTCCCCCCCTATAACCTTGTTCTTTTCCTCCTTCCTTTTGGGTCAGGACCCTCAAAATGAGAAATGCTGGTTTCCCCCGTGAAATTGGTATAGTATGGGTGTAAAAGCACACAAAAGACCAGATTTCACGGGGGGGGGGTAAAAGCGCACAAAAGACCAGATATCTTGTTCCATGACACACTTTTCACGGCCATCAATTTGGTAGGGCCCTAAGTATAATGCAGAATTGCAGAAGCTCCCAAGTGTGTGCACCCTATTGTGAAGGGTTTGGTCACAGAGACCCCCTTGGGACTGTCACATGATGTGCTGAAACTACCTCTTAGCCCGTTTTCCCTGATGGCCTGGCACTCCAGAACCCTGTCTTGTTGAGCCAGACAACGCTAGTCTGCTGTAACACAGACCCAGATCTGAAGAACACCCCCAAAGCTGCAGACTTTAACTGAAAACCACTCAGCAGGTATTCCTGTCTCCAGACACCTAGCTCCCAAATCCGTTTTACTCTGTATAAAGCTTATATAGGGTAAACTCATTAATTGTCCGCCCTCTATAACACTGATAGAAAGATATATACAGCTGTTTGCTTCCCCCAGGTATTAATCACTTACTCTGGGTTTACTAATAAACAAAAGTGATTTCATTAAGTATAAAAAGTAGGATTTAAGTTATTTCATGTAATAACAGAACAAAGTAAGTTACCAAGTAAAGTAAAATAAAACAAAACACGCATGTTTAAGCCTAATACATTAAGAAAGTGAATACAGGTAAATCTCACCCTCGCATGTTCCAATAAGCTTTTTTTCACAGACTAGACTCCTTCTTAGCCTGGGTCCAATCCTTTCCCCAGGTACAGGTCTTGTTATTGCCAGCTCAGGTGGTAACTAGGGGATTTCTGATGACTGCAGCCCCCCTTGTTCTGTTCCACCCCCTTTTATGACTTTCCCCAAGGTGGGAATCTTTTGTCTCTCTGGGTCCCCACCCCTCCTTCTAAATGGAAAAGCACCAGGTTTAAGATGGATTCCGGTACCAGGTGACATGGTCACATTTCCTGTGAGACCCCAAGCCTCCATTCTTTCTGGCCTGACTCTCAGGAAGGCTTACAAGTAAACAGCCATTTACAACCAATTGTCCTGGTCAATGGAAGCCATCAAGATTCTAAACCACTATTAATGGCCCACACTTTGCATAATTACCATAGGACCTCAGAATTAACTTCATATTTATAGATTTAGATACAAGAATGATACATACATACAAATAGGATGAACACATCAGTAGATTATAAGCTTTGTAATTATACCTTGCAAGAGACTTTTTACATAAAGCATATGGAGTGCAACATCACATCTATCTCCTTAGACCATGCTAGACTGAAATGATGTGGTGAAGAACCATGGCATGAGCCAGCTCTCCTGCTATAGGAAGGGGAAGCTTATGAGTGCAATGATGAACATAGTACTGTCCCAGAGGGGCTGGAACACATTAGTTAAGCTTAGTAACTTGATCTAAACAGAAGTATGGGCATATTCTAACTAGATCTATGACAGCATTTCCAGCTGAGTGTATTGACAGTTGTGTTTTTGGGAATTAAATCACTGAACAAGTGAAACAAAACACTGCAATCATCTAGTCTCTTATGAGAGCGTGCGCAAGAGGACTTGTACAGCTTGTTCAATTGCAAACTCATTGCTCACTTGACACTGCTCAGAATTTCTCTATTGTAAGCACGAGTACTTGGTGGTTGGACTTGAGATCTGCTGGTGATACAGATCACTGTATGTATAGTGTTTTAAAAAAACAAAAACAAACAAACAAAAAAAAACCCCTCTGCTTGAAGGCTGCTACTATTTACTAGCCTGCATGTTTTGGAACCAAGTTGTCTCGTTCTACTGTATTATCTTTGTATTACTAACAGGAATCGACTCTTCACCTTGTGCTGAGACTTCGTGGTGGTGCTAAGAAGAGAAAGAAGAAATCTTACACTACCCCCAAGAAGAACAAGCATAAGAGAAAGAAGGTTAAGCTTGCTGTCCTTAAATATTACAAGGTAAGAGTAACTAAAAGAATTGAGTAAATTTGATTCCTTGATAGAAGGGGGAGTTTGAGCTGTAGCATCACCAGTAATAAGCATGTAGGTATTTAGTACATCCCTTGATGTTTGTTTACTGAATCTGTAAGCTGTAGTTTCCAGGTGACTTTCTTTACATCTGCATAGGTGAGTAACTGGAGAAGGCACAGAACTTGTAAAAGCAATAAACTTCCTCAAAGCTTTTTTGGGGCTGCTTTATGAACCTGTTCATATTCACAAACATAAATTTTGTAAATATGAAGAGAGGGGCCAGTGTAATCAAATGCTTCTAATTTTGGTCAGAAAAGTTTGAGTTTGTAAACTTATGGCAGCCTCACCTGGAAGTTGGTTGCACTGGTGAAAACTGATGCCTAGAATGGTAAATCGTGTCTACAGCAGATTGAGTTGTGATCTTTTTAATTGATAAGCCATATTCTTCTGTCGCTTCTCATTGAGGAATTAGTGGCACTTTGAGGCAAGGTGTCTCTAAAAAGATATCTTTACTTATGGAGCCTTTCCTTTTACAGGTGGATGAGAATGGTAAAATCAGTCGCCTGCGCCGAGAGTGCCCCTCTGAGGAATGTGGGGCTGGAGTTTTTATGGCCAGTCACTTTGACAGACATTACTGTGGCAAGTGCTGCCTGACATACTGCTTCAACAAACCAGAAGACAAGTAAATGTATCTGTGTTAATAAAAAAAACCCTCAGATTTTGCAGTGCTGTACATTTATTTTCCTTCTGGTGACCTCCTCATGCCTCCTTCTTCAGGAGCACTATTTCAGCAGATATATTCCCTCAAATCAGGGTACTGAGGTCCTATTGGGTTCTGGGGAAGCGGGTGCAAGCCTGCCCCTTACTAAAGGATTCTCCCCCAGCCTTAGGGGAGGATCCACAACGTCCAGGAACTCAAATAATTATGGGGAACAACCAAAACGGGCAGGTGTGAAGGTCGAAGGGACAAACAAAGGGAACCTGAAGGAACTGTGCCCAGATACGTGAACAGAGAGAGGACTGGTAACAGGCCCCACAGTCGCAAAGAACCCCCTCAGCCAACATCCTCTCCCTGGTATTGTAGATGGCCACTTTGGCCCTCACCAGGAAGAGGTTGATGAGGACGTCCCACGACTTTGTGGGGCTATGGATAGGGTGTGAGTGTAGGAAAAGGTGAGGGGAAAAGTGCAGCCAAAAACGTAAAAGGATGTTCAGGAAGAGTGGGAACACGGGCTGCAACCTGGTGCGCTCAAGGTATACATGCGCCAGGGTCTCTCTCACGCCGCAGAAGGGGCAGGCATCAGAGATGATGAACTGCGCCAAGTTCATGCCTGTACTCACGGCTCTGTGGACAAGCCCCCAATATCCCTGGCGGGCCTTGGGACTAGTGTGGAATATAGGTTGGCCCACTGGAGTTACACCTTCAACAGGTGGCAATAGATGATAGAATCATAGAATATCAGGGTTGGAAGAGACCTCAGGAGGTCATGGGCAAATCCCCAACTAAATCATCTCAGCCAAGGCTTTGTCAAACCTGACTTTAAAAACCTAAGGAAGGAGATTCCACCAGCCTAGGAAACCCATTCCAGTGCTTCACCACCCTCCTAGTGAAAAAGTTTTTCCTAATATCCTAAACATTCCCCCACTGCAGCTTGAGACCATTACTCCTTGTTCTGTCATCTGGTACCACTGAGAACAGTCTAGATCCATCCCCTTTGGAACCCCCTTTCAGGTAATTGAAAGCCGCTATCAAATCCCTCCTCATTCTTCTCTTCTGCAGACTAAATAATCCCAGTTCCCTCAGCCTATCCTCATAAGTCATGTGCTCCAGCCCCCTAATCATTTTTG